CTTTGTCAAAGATCAATTGACTGTATTTGCTTGGATCTATAGGAAACCAATTGACTTGTGTATCCTTCAACCTTGCTATACACTGTTACTAATTACAGGGGTTATCTCTGTTGTTGTGGATGCTATCAGATGTTTTGCATAAACAATCATGTCATAAGGAACAAAGTTTTATTTGTTGTTTCCCACTCTGTATACCTTTTATTTCTTTTTCTTACCTTACTGCATTGGCTAGGGCTTCCAGTACATTGTTTAATAGGAGCAGTGAAAGGAAACTTCCTTGCCCTATCCCCCTCTTAACAGTAAAGCATCCAGCTTCTCACAACTCAGTAAGATCTTACCTACAGGTGTTGTGTAGTTGTTCTTTTTTAAGAAGAGAGCCTTCCACTCAATTTCTAGTTTGTTATCATAAATGGATGTTGGATGGTGTCAAATCTTTTTTCATGGTTATTTCCTCCTCCTTTTATTTCTGATTTAGTAATTTCTGTTTTTCTTCTTTTCTCAGTTGTCTTGATTAGATGTTTATCAATTTTATTAAATTAATATTTTCAAAGGACTAGCTTTGGGATTTGAAAACTAAGAGTTTTGGGTTTTGTTTTTAAAGAACCATACTTTATTCTTCCTTTTTTAAAATTTATTTATTTTATTTATTTATTGTTCGCTATGTTGGGTCTTTGTTGCTGCATGTGGGCTTCTCTAGTTGCAGCAAGTGGGGGCTACCCCTCATTGCGGTGCACGGGTTTCTCATTGCAGTGGCCTCTCTTGTTGTGGAGCATGGGCTCTAGACGCGTGGGCTTCATTAGTTGTGGCACACGGGCCCAGTAATTGTGGCTCACGGGCTCTAGAGTGCAGGCTCAGTAGTTGTGGTGCACAGGCTTAGTCGCTCCATGGCATATGGGATCCTCCCGGACCAGGGCTCGAACCCATGTCCCCTGCACTGGCAGGCAGATTCTTAACCACTGCACCACCAGGGAAGTCCCAAGAGAGTGGGGTTTTTTTCCCAAAACTTTAAATACAGGGATACCTCAGAGATTGGGGGTTCTGTTCAGGACCACCACAATAAAGTGAGTCACACTTATTTTTGGTTTCCCAGTGCATATAAAAGTTATGTTTATACTATATTGTAGCCTATTAAGTATGCAATAGCATTATGTCTAAAAAACAATCTACATAACTCAATTTTAAAACTTCGTTGCTAAAAAGTGTTAACTATCATCTGGCAATGTAGGGTTGCCACAAACTCTTAATATGTAAAATACACAAAATCTGCAAAGTACAATACAGTGAAGCACAATGAAATGAAGTATGCCTGCCTGTACAGTATTTCACTCCACTCTCTTCTTCCTTGTGTTGTTTCTGAAAACAAGTCTGATTTAATTCAAGTCTTTTTTTCTCTATGCAAATCAAAACTACAATTAGGTACCACCTGACACTGGTCAGAATGGCCATCATTAAAGAGTCTACAAATAACAAATGCTGGAAAGGGTGTGGAGAAAAGGGAACCCTCCAACACTGTTGGTGGGAATGTAAATTGATACAGCCACTATGGAAAACAGTATGGAGGTTCCTTAAAAAACTAAAAATAGAGTTGCCATATGAGCCAGCAATCCCAGTCCTGGACATATAGACAAAATTATAATTAGAAAAGATACATGCACCCCTATGTTTATAGCAGCACTATTCACAATAGCCAAGCCACTATTCACAATCTAAATGTCCATCAATAGATGAATGAAGAAGATTGGTGTATATATATATATGCACACACACCCCCCCCAAAAAAAACAGGAATACTACTCAGTCATAAAAAAGAATAAAATAATGCCATGTGCAGCAACATGGATGGACCTAAAGATTATCATACTAAGTAAAGTAAGTCAGAACGAGAAAGACAAATACCATATGATATCACTTATATGTGGAACCTAAAATATGACACAAATGAACTTATCTACGAAACAGAAACAGACTCACAGATAGAGAGAACAGACTAGTGCTGCCAAGAGGGAGTGGGGGACGGATGGATTGGGAGTTTGGGATTAGCAGATGCAAACTATTATATATAGAATGGATAAACAACAAGGTCCTACTGTATAGCACAGAACTATAGTCAATATCCTGTAATAAACCATAATGGAAAGGAATATGAAAAAGAATATATATGTATAACTGATTCACTTTGCTGTACAGCAGAAATTAACACAACATTGTAGGGACTTCCCTGGTGGTCCAGTGGGTAAGACTCTGAGCTCCCAATGCAGGTGTCTCGGGTTTGATCCCTTGTCAGGGAACTAGATCCTGCATGCATGCCACAGCTAAAACCCGGTGCAGCCTAAATAAGTAAATAAATAAAATAAATAATAAATAGATATATATTTTTTAAACCACAACATTGGGCTTCCCTGGTGGCACAGTGGTTGAGAATCTGCCTGCTAATGCAGAGGACATGGGTTCGAGCCCTGGTCTGGGAAGGATCCCACATGCCGTGGAGCAACTAGGCCCGTGAGCCACAACTACTGAGCCTTCTCGTCTGGAGCCCGTGCTCCACAACAAGAGAGGCTGTGATAGTGAGAGGTCCACGCACTGCGATGAAGAGTGGCCCCCGCTTGCCACAACTAAAGAAAGCCCTCGCACAGAAATGAAGACCCAACACAGAAAAAATAAATAAGTTTATAAAACAAAGGACTAGTCTTTAAAAAAAAAACACAACATTGTAAATCAACTATACTTCAATAAAATAAAAAAAATTTTAATCTTTTTTTCTCAGCTCACTAAGGTGTTTCTTCTGCTAGCTCTTTTCAATATATTCTTTTTCTTCCGTTTGAATATGATATACTTGGGTGTGCTTTTTTTAAAATTAATTTTATTTATTTTTTTGCTGCATTGGGTCTTTGTTGCTCTGTGCGGGCTTTCTCTAGCTGTGGCGGGTGGGGGCTACTCTTCGTTGCGGTGCATGGGCTTCTCATTGCAGTGGCTTCTCTAGTTGCAGAGCATGGGTTCTAGGCGCTCAGGCTTCAGTAGTTGTGGTGCATGGGCTTAGTTGCTCCGCGGCATATGGGATCTTCCTGGACCAGGGCTTGAACCCGTGTCCCCTGCACTGGCAGGCAGATTCTTAACCACTGCATCGTGGGTGTACATTTTTTAGCATTTTCATTTTGTGTTCTCTGAGCTTCCTGGATCTGTGGTTTGCCATTAATGATTAATTTTTGAAAAAAATCTGTGATTATTATTTCACTTATTTTTTCTGTTCCTTTCTGTCTTTCTTTTCCTTCAGGTATTTCCATTGTGTGTATTTTAAACATTCTTTCATTGTCCTACAGTTCATGGATATTGTGTTCTGCATTGTTTGCTCTTTTTTGTCTTTGAACTAGCTTCTGGTGAAATAGATTGTTTTCAGTATAGGCCTTGTATCTTTATTTTCTGTTTCCCAATTTTGAAACCAGTGGTTTCCTGTGACTTCAGAGCTCTGATGGAACTAAGAAGAGTTGTTGATTTCAAGTGTTTTCACTTTTTTCTCTGAGGTTGGGAATGATGGCATCCAAAACCAGAAACCAGAGTTCTCTGACTCCAGTTTTTGATGACTGGCTGCTGACAACCTTAAAGTCTCATCCCCCCTCATTTCTCTTTGACCCACATCTATACAAAGTGATAAGAGTGCCTTGGTGCTCCTTCCTTTGGCAGTAGCAAAACAGTCAGTCCTCATAAGATCCTGTTCTTGTGTGTGAACCCTCACCCAAACCCACCCCCTAACCTCAATTAAAAAAAAAAAAGTCCAGGCACCTTTTGTTTCTCTCAAGCCATTTCATGGCAGCTGGAGAAGTATGCCTTACTTTCCCCAGAGACCTCAATTATGGAAGTAAACCCTTTCATTCACTATTGGTAGTATGTGGTGTCATCAACTAAGGAATTCGTATGCTCAGTGGTCAAGCCATCATACTTCTGTAGACCAGATAGGAGCTTGGGAATTAGAGAAATTGGGAGAAGAGCCTCTAGAATGGCTGGTTGGGAAACACTTCTTCCTGCTGTTTGAAAATGGAGATTTTAGAGTTGTTTGGAGGAAAGCACTGCTGAATCCTTCATACATTTTATGGGCAAATTAGCCATGAATCCATTGTGATTTTCAGTGAACACACTTGCAGTCTGCAGCTGTTCCTCAAGGTCAACAAGGCACAGGGCCCAGTGTTCTGGTTCTGCCATAAAGAGCTCTTCTGGCATACTACAGCACTTTGTGTGCCTCTAAGCAGCCCCAAGGCGCACAAGTATAGGGACTTTGTGGTCTAAGTTGTGACATCTTCTTCCTAGTATCTGAACTCTAAGTTCCAAATAACTTTCTAGTCCATCAAACCAGAGAGAGAAAGGGAAAACTGAGCCTGTGGTAAGTATTACACAAGTTAAAAGCAATACTTCCTGACAAGGATATTTTCATTCCACCAGCTACATCATACCACACTACTTCTAAAGGCCTGGAGTACTTAGGGATGAAATAGCCAGCTGGACCTTATTAAAAGCTGGATTTCTACAGGTGTTCTGGATTCTCATGTTTGGTGATAGGAATAGAAGTAAAAGCTTTTAGTTTTCATTATGTTTTTATTTAGTAAAATCTTATGCAGATTTGACCCTTTGGCTCATGGTGTTCTCTAAATGGTGGGTAATAAGAAGGGCGAGGAAAGAGTTTTCCTCACGAAGAATCCATGATCTTAAAATGATATTTGTTTCATGTGTGTAGCATTTCTGTCATTTCCCAACATGCTCTGGACCCTGCAATTAGAGAGAAATAAGATGTGACGAAATCACAATAAAACTATGTAAATAATTTGCATGTTTTCACAATGCTGTTAAACTTATTAGGAAGTGTGGACAGAGAGTAAGTTTCTGATGACCAAGTCATAGAATAAATGTTTGGAGATGACAGAATCATACGTAACCTTCATATAAATGGTGTACAGATGTCCAGTGCTGTTAGTCTCACACATCCTACTATACACATATCTGGGATGTTTTAGGACTCAGTGACCTTTGAGGATGTGGCTGTGAGCTTCACCCTGGAGGAGTGGGCTTTACTGGATCCTTCACAGAAGAAACTCTACAGAGATGTGATGCGGGAAACGTTGAGGAACCTGGCCTCAGTAGGTGAGGATGACAACTTACCTTTACTTTGTCAATTAGAGAACACATGTTTCTTGCTCGTTAACATTGTTCCAAGATGTTGAATGTGGAAATGCAGGATGTTGCTAAATAATCTAGGCATGGTCACAGCCAACAATGGACTTAGATAGTTTTTCTATAACTTCTAATATCTTGGAATCATTTTTCTTGCTCTGCAATTTAGGAGAAAAATGGGAAGATCATGACATTGAAGATCAGTACAAAAACCAGGGGAGAAAACTAAGGTAAGTCACACTCACAATATAAAATAGTGCCTCATGTGAGTATCCTGTTATGTTATGCAGTTTTAAAAGAAGGAAATAAAAGAAATAATGCATGCTCCAAATTTAGTTATTCTTAGAAAATTTTCACCAAAATTACTTTCTTATGTGACATAGATGTTCAGTGTTTGCAAAATAGTTCAACACTATAAATAAACTCTATATGAATGTCACTGTTTTGATGATTGCAAGAGCATTTCTTATATTCAACTTGAAACAATTCAGACAAGGCATAAAACCTACACTATTGCTATAAGTGATAAAAATGTACTTCAAATATCCTACTATTGAGTATAAAATTGTTAATAAAGACCTCATTGATAATATACTCCTTGTTTTTTACAGAAGTCATGTGGTAGAGAGACTCTGTGAAAGTAAAGAGGGTAGTCAATGTGGAGAAAACTTCAGCCTTATTCCAAATCTCAATCTGAACAAGAAAACTACTGGAGTGAAACCACGTGAATGCAATATATGTGGAAAAGTCTTTACGCGTCATTCATCCCTTAAGAGACACATGAGCTGTCACACTGAACGTAAACCATATGAGTATCAGAAACATGGAGAGAAGCCATATAAATGTAAGGAATGTGGTAAAGCCTTTAGCTATCTCCAGTTTTTGGAGACGCATGAAAAAAATCACAATCGAGAGAAAAAATATAAATGTAAGGAATGTGGAAAAGCGTTCCATTCCCGCGCATCCTTTCAAACACATGAAAGGATTCACACAGGAGAAAAACCCTATGAATGTAAGGAATGTGGGGAAGCTTTTATGTGGAGCACAGCATTTCGAAGACACATGGTAACACACACTGGAGATGCTCCATATACATGTAAGGAATGTGGGAAAGCTTTTAATTGTTCCTCTTCATTGCGAACACATGAAACAACTCACAGTGAAGAGAAACCCTATCAGTGTAAACAATGTGGAAAATTCCTTAGATATTATCATACTTTTCGAACACATGAAAGGACTCATACAGGAGAGAAACCCTATGAATGTAAGCAGTGTGGTAAAGCCTTCAGTTGTCCCAGTTCTTTTCGAAAACATGAAAGAATTCATACTGGGGAAAAGCCTTATGAATGTAAGGAATGTGGGAGAGCCTTCAGAGGTCTCTCAAGCCTTCGAGCACACATGATCACTCACACTGGAGATGGACCTTATAAATGTAAGGAATGTGAGAGAGCCTTCATTTCTCCTAGTTCTTTTCGAATACATCAAAGGATTCACACTGGAGAGAAACCCTATGAATGTAAACAATGTGGTAAAGCCTTCAGTTACTATAATTCCTTACAATCACACAGAAGAACTCATACTGGAGAGAAACCCTATGAATGCAAGGAATGTGGGAAGGCCCTCTCCCATCACCAAACCTTAAAAATACACATGAGACTGCACACTGGAGAGAAACCCTATGAATGTGAACAATGTGGTAGAGCTTTCAGATATTACACTTCCTTCCAAAAGCACAAAAGAGTTCATACTGAGAAGAAATTCTGTGAATAAGGAATATGGAAAAGCCTTTAGTTGATCAACTTCACTTTGAAAACATGAAAGAAGCCACACTGGAGAGAAAGCCTGTCAGTGTAAACAAGGCGGGAAAGCCTTCAGGTATTTTCAAAGTTTGAAAACATATGAAAGGACTCCCATAGAAGAGAAACCTTGTAAGCAATGTGGTAAATCCTGCAGAGATTACACTTCATTAGAAATGCGCAAAAGAGCTCATAGTGAAGAGAAACCCTGTGACTGTAAGGAATGTGGAAAAGCCTTCAGATGTTATCAGAGTTTTTTTTTTTGAAGATGTGCAAAAGATCAGAGTGGAGGCAATGTGGTAAACCCTTCATTTGTCACAAACCATTTGAAGACGTGTGAGAACACACACTGGAGAGACACCATATAAATGTAAAGAATGTTGGAAAGACTTGTCATCCCAGTTCTGAAAGCATGAAAGAACTCACTGGACAAAAACTCTTGAGTTAAACAGCCAGGGAAAGATTTCAGTGAGCCCACATCTTTACATGTGAAAAAGAATATAAAATGTAAGTAACATGAGAAAGCTTGATGGAAACTAATCTATGTATAACATTCCAGAAAATAGGAAAGAGTTGTTATTAAAGTTGTAAATATATTGTCTTTATCAAGCCTCTTTTCTTAGAGCGCACCATTGGACGGTGGATTTCTAGTAATTACTCTCAGAAATGAATACAAGGTGAGATGATTTTATAAGTCATATGTTTCCACAGCAGTACGTAAGATTAATAGGTAGTGCTTTTTCTTTAAATCAGTTAATAATATTTTCTCTTTCCTGTTTGAAACCTGTTGGATCATAGGTGAATTGAAGCATATTTCTAATAATGCAATTAGGTTAACATTGTTTTATAATGTTTTATTTGTTCTGTGTTAAGGGGCCACTGAAAAATGACAGTTTGGTATTTGGATTTTCCTAATGGCCTTGTGGCAGTTCTTGGATATCCTAGTCCAGAATATATATTTATCTTTCTTACCGACAAAGCTCCTTTTTGGGGGTGAAGAGTATAAGAGCCTTTTTCCATTTTCCATACTAATAAACAGTTGAATAAATATTTATGTTTGCCTCACTTATAAAAGAATATAGTTTCCATGTGAATTATTATTTTCATATTTGGGTCTTTGCTTTATGTCCTTCCTTCTGACTATAATTTGGTGAATAGACTTTGAATTAAGAAGAGAGGCCTGATAGGACAACAAAATCTAGAGCTGGAGTTATTCCCCCTGTAGGTAATGTTAGGAACTAGATTTTCCAGAACTCATCCCCTTTGTGTTTCCTTGTTAGAATCCACCAATAGTCTGACTTGCATGAGATTTGGAAGGCAGAAGTGAGGAAGGCAGTAGTCAGATTTCACATATAGAGAGACAGAGGCACAGGAGCTTCAGGTATACCATCTTCCAGCCCATTTTCCATATTTTTTGCCCTTCCAGTCAAGAGTATCCTCAAAACCACAAATAACTCTATGATATCAATTTTTCTTAGAGCTCTGGTTTCAACTGATGTCTTCCCAAGATCCACATCAAAAATCCAGCTTCTCCAGGGTCTCTTTTGTCCACCAGGAAACTAATCAGATTGTCATGATTGGGAGTATTCTTTGATTCCCCTCTTCTCTAGATTATATCCATATAAGGTCTGATTTGTGTAGGAAACACCTTGTGCTGTTAACAGTCCTAGTGAGTATGTTTTCCTGATTCACCATGACATCTGCAATGGTGTAATCAAAAAGAATGACATGGGAGTTTTTTCTCTACTGCAGTGTTCACTGGCTGCCTTCACTTGGTCTTTCCATGTGAGAATAAGAACCTTTCTCCTGTCAGGAGACTGAGTTTTTCTTGTTTCTTGGAGCTCAATGTAATACCTCAGTGTTTTCAATTTTGTTTGATTGTATGTGATTAAACTATGTATATTTTTTGTTACAGGAATGCTTCTATAGTTCTTTCATAGAAATATATTATTAACTGTTTTCTAAGCTGTCCAATGCTAACAAATATTATTGTGTATTTCATTTCCTGACAGGATATATTAAAATATACCCTTATAATTGTGTATTTTCAGATAAACTTTGCAATTTTCTTTCACTTAATCATTTATATTTTAAGTCTATTTTATGTACATACAAGTTCAGGTATGTTTTCCTCAGGCAAATTTTACTTTTTATTCTTTTGTAGTTACGATATTTATTATGAAATTAATTTCTCATTTATTCTTAGTACCAGATACTTAAATCATGTTTTTTTTTAAGCGCCCTCTTGTCAGTGACATACAGGATTGCACTTGTAGTCAAAGAGGGGAGTGTAATGAATTCTAATAAGAATGAGCACAAACCATTAAGTGATGTGAGGTATAATAGTACAGGATGCTCAGAAGGACTTCTTATAGGAGTTTGGCTTTAGAGGATTTGACTGCTACCCAAGAAAGCAAGGCGTTTTTCTGTATTGGATGCCGTGAGGAGGGTAACTTTATTCTTTCATTGGTTATCATAATCCTTGTTTTCTAGAAGGCAAAAACAGTGTAGTGGAACTAAACTTAATTCGTAAGAAGCCCCAGTTACATTAGAAAGAAGAGGGGTATACTGGTCATTTTTATTATTTGGAGCTTTATCTTTTATCAATTTTAGAGATATGGTTACAAAATACCCTAATTTTTGTCTTGGTCCATCATAGTCAACGAATACCTTTGATGAAGGTGGTGTGTGACATTTTTCTCTTCACCAGGAAAAGACTTGGCCTTGCAAAGAATGCAGGCCAGTTCCCTGTCCTCTTGAACAGCTTTTGCCTTTCCTACTTGTTATCCAAACACTGGTGTACTTCCTACAGTGTATTAGACACCCTTTACTATAAAGTTCAAGTCTTTTTAAATATCTCATTTATGACTCAACTGATATTTGTAAGTTTAGGTAATTTGTGAGAGAACACATACCTAGCAAGAGAGAAAGACAGGACCACTGTTGCAATCAAGCCTTTTTTTCTCAGAGACTATACTCTTTTTTTTTTTTAACCTCTTTATTGGAGTATAATTGCTTTACAATGGTGTGTTAGTTTCTGCTTTATAACAAAGTGAATCAGTTATACCTATACATATATCTCTTCCCTCTTGCATCTCCCTCCCTCCCACCCTCCCTATCCCACCCCTCTAGGTGGTCACAAACCACCGAGCTGATTTCCCTGTGCTATGTGGCTCCTTCCCACTAGCTATTTATTTTACATTTGGTAGCGTATATATGTCCATGCCACTCTCTCACTTAGTCCCAGCTTACCCTTCCCCCTCCCTATATCCTCAAGTCCATTCTCTAGTAGGTCTGCGTCTTTATTCCCGTCTTGCCCCTAGGTTCTTCATGACCTTTTTTTTTTTTCTTAGATTCCATATATATGTGTTAGCATACGGTATTTGTTTTTCTCTTTCTGACTTACTTCACTCTGTATGACAGACTCTAGGTCCATCAACCTCACTACAAATAACTCAATTTCGTTTCTTTTTATGGCTGAGTAATATTCCATTGTATATATGTGCCACATCTTCTTTATCCATTCATCTGTTGATGGACACTTAGGTTGCTTGCATATCCTGGCTATTGTAAGTAGAGCTGTAATGAACATTGTGGTACATGAGTCTTTTTGAATTATGGTTTTCTCAGGGTATATGTGCAGTAGTGGGATTGCTGGGTCAACTATACTCTTAATGCTAATGTTTCAACATCCCACATTGCCATGCACTTTAGAGTCAGTGTACCCCATTTAGCACAAATAATCAAGTTACTGTAGGATTTGGATACAGCAGCATGAAACAAACAGGTTCTTGCATTCCTGGTGCTTATATTTTTGTGGGAAAAGAGATATGGTGAAGCTTTGGCTTATAGATGGAAATAAGGGCTTTGATGGAATGTAAGGCAATAATATGAGAAAATAGGGAACCTGCGGTGTGTATATATCTTTTCTCTGAGGGTAGGTGCCTCAGTGAATGATGATGTCATTATTGATCACTGAATTTCTACCATATAATACATCTTAAACACTCTTTCAGGAACTGCTTGGCTGTGTAATTAAATAGATTGCACCAGTATAGAAATCCTGCATTCCTGTGATTCACAGTAAAGATTCCCCATAAAGATAAAGATACAGACATGGTTCATCTTTGTTTTTGTAACTGTTAAACATTTTGTTTATAGAATATGTGCTCATGAGTTTGGACATTGTCACCTGGATCTTGGGACTTCCTATTGATTTGGGCCATGTCATTTGAGGGAATTTTCATTTACTTTTACATTTTCTAAAATGTTACAGTATTTGGCATTTTCATTTTGTTCCTTTACACACTAAGCAACACAATGTTTACCCCATAAAATCATGGAGTTCCTCCCATTTAGGGAAACACATTCATCTGCACTGTTCTAGCCCATCCTGAGTTTATCCTATGAGTAGAGTGATAACTGTGCAAGTCTGCTGTGGTTTCCCAGTGGAAACATGAAAAAAAGCTGTGGATGTTTAGAGGCAGTCATCCAAGGAATAATTGAGGTGAGCTGTAGAGAGGGGGTATTATTTTGGGTAATATCCTAATTTAGTATAAAAGGAGAAATGAGAAATTTTCCAACGTCTTTTTATTGCAGGAGTGATTGGAAGTCTTGTGCATCAGTGATCCATTGGCCCATTTTGCTATTCAGAGGTTTCATTTCCATATGCTTAGACTTCCAGCATGTGTTGTGTAAGAGTAGGAGACAAAAGTAATAGCTGTGAGGATGGACCGGGAGTTTGGGCTTCATAGATGGCAAACTATTACATTTAGAATGGATAAACAACAAGGTCCTAACTGTATTCAATATCCTGTGATAAACCATGATGGAAGAGAATGTCTGTATGTGTATAACTGGGTCACTTTGCTGTACAGCAGAGATTGGCACAGCGTTGCAAATCAACTATACCTCAATTTTAAAAAAGTAATAGCTGTGATATGTAAAATAGATAGATTGATAGATGGGAGGGAGGGAGGAAATGAATAACACAAATGCCTTCATATGCTAGGAGATGGTTAAACTCTCCTGAACTTTGATTATGTGTTCAGCCTTTTTTCCCACCATTCTGGGATCCTTCCAGGAAGAATTGAAGGGCTGGGGAAGAAGGACATGGGCCACAACAGGCCTTTCTTACCACCCTGTCTTAACACACACTAGGGCTGCACCCGTCCTCCTCTCATCACCTCATCACATAACTAAGCGTGAAGAGAGAGGGCTCCTGCATCTATCTTTGAGTAAGTCAGATTCCTCAGACAGATCTTTGGAAATACTGTGGTTCTGAAACATAAAGGTGTGTCCCAAGTGGGATCTGCCTGGGGACATCCTCATTCGTGTAAACCAGCATGATTTCCTTCCTCGGCCATCCATAGCCCGTTTCCTTATCATTGTTTCCCAACTCAAGCCTACTTGTGCCTGCTTACTTGGAAACATCTTTAGAAATCCATGCGTATTCCACTCTGGAAAATTTATCTGAGGCAATACCTGGGGCTGTGAGTTGCGAGGGTGACAGAAGCAATTGGCAGGAACCATGTCATGGGCACATTCCATCAGCCACAGAGACCACAGGCATCGCATGTTTATCAGATATGCTTGCTTACT